AGACACAGACCGAAATTCACTGCGAGAGAGTGAAGCAACTCAAGATGTTCTGGGGTGGTGGTGGGTGAGGGGGTTCTAAAGGAACATAAACACTAGCCCAGAGGAGGAAAAACCTCAGGGGTGTAAAGAAATGAGGGAGGGAAGGATAATGGCCTGCAAAAACCTGAAGGACTATCACATGAAAGGAGGACAATTGGCTTGACTTGGCTCCAGATGGGATCCATAGGTGAAGTAAGTGAAAGAGGAAGTATGTTTGCATCTAGTGCAGGGATAAACTGCTCTGTGGTTGACATTCATCAGCCAGGAGACAGTGAGCTGTCTGTGCTGTCACAAAGGTTGGATGACTATTTCACAGGAAAGATGTTTAGGGAATTTCTGTTTCAGTTTGAATCTTAGAAAAAGTGGTTGGTTCCTCCTAATTTTTTTTTAACATGTTTATTGAGCTATAATTGACATAAATAAACTGTGCCTCTTTGAAGTGTACCATTTGATAAATTTTGACATATATCCTTATTAGAATTATTGTCCTATAAATTTTCCTCTTTGAAATCAGAGGAACATTTTGAGTAACTTGCCACAATAACTGTTTTGTCTAAATTTCACACCCGTGAAACCATCACCACAGTCAAGATAATGAACATCACCATTCCTGCCAGAAGTTTCCCCATGCCCCTCGGTGAAGCCTTAAAACCTCCCTCTCACCCTGCCCCTGCTGCCAGGCATCCATTGGTCCCCATTCTGTCACTATAGATTTGTGTGCGTTTCCTAGAGTATACATAAGTAGAATCATACGTTTAATTTTTAAAATACTGAGCTTTCCCTTTCTGACTTTGTGAGACATGTGTAGCTGAATTAACAGTAAAATTAACAACATTATCCTTTTTCATTACATTAGAACAATTTTGTGACCATGGGATGAAGCCTTAAAACAATGTTGCTGCCTTTCAGTAGCACATCTGTGTTTTCCCCTTTTATTTCTCTGTTAGGCCTAGGCCTCTGAAGAGAGGCCTCAGTTCCCAGAGCTCAGACGGCCACTTGCATAAGAGACCCTGCACCTCTCCTGTGAGTTCCTTGACAAGCATGTGCACATGTGGCGTCTGTATGTCCAGCCGCAGTGCCATTACCAGTTCCTACAGTTCCACTGGAGGCATCTCTCGGGTACACGCACTTGGTCGTGTGGAAGAAGTGGGTTCTTTCCACTCAGGTTTGAGCATTACAGGTATCTAATTTAATATATGTAACAAAAAATCTGAAGGTAAGGTTGTACACTTATGGAAATAATGATTTTGACCTACTTCATAAGATAGTTGTGAGGCAGTGCATGTAAAGTGTTCAAGAGTCTACATTGTCCATAGGAAACATTCAAGAAGTGCCACCAATTACTATTATTTTAAATAAGTACTGTCATTTACATTTCAAGGGACTTAATTCACACTCAGAGCTTCAGACTTAGCATTATACAAGGCTGTATCTGATGGCCTAACAAGCAGGCAGGGTAAAAATCATCTTGAACTTTTTAACAGGACTGGGTGGAGCGAGGATGCTCGGAGCGCTGCGCTGGGGGCGGGGCGAACGTCGCGCCCCCCGCTGCCCGCTGGTCCCCCGGGGGCGGAGGTCGCGTTCCCACTGCCAGCTGCACAGCCCAGCGGGTAGCAGCCCCCCGGGTCGCGGCAGCTGCAGGGACAGCCGCGGG